GATGTTAGAATTGAAAAAATTTTTATTCTTGAAAAGTTCTTGACTTAATATACAGATATTGTCAGAAACACTCTCTCTCTATTATCTGAGTAAAAACACTTTATAGATGAATAAGAATACTCATAGTTTATAAGAATGAGAGCTGTTATAAAAAAAGAAAAAAGAAGATAAGATTCTGCAGACAGATCTGAGATATTTATACTACTTTAAAGAGATTTACTTACACTGTGAGTGATCTCACAGAACAGTCAGATCACTCTAGTAAATAAAAAGTGATTATAAATCACAGATCTGAATCTTTCTATATAATTATAAAGAGTGATTGTAGACTGTGAATATCTTGATTCTACAATTCTACAGAGTTAATAAAAGAATAGAAAATTCCTTACAACTCTACAGTATTAAAGAACAATAATTCATGAGAATGAGTGAAAAATTAACTTATGAATACTTCTCTTTAATAAGAGTGATCTCACAGAGAGTGATTCATCTGTGAGATAAATCTGTGTGATAATTACATAAGAATCTTATAAAAATGATTGAGAGTTAACTGAAACTCTTCTGTATAGAAGATGTGAGATGAATCTATGTGATAGTCAGAGAAGAATCTGTAAATTATAAAGAATCTCACAGAATAAGAAACTGAGTAATAGACTCTTTTTTCTTTATAATAATAAGAGATTTTTCCTCACTGAGATTTTTTATAGATATGAAGAATTTTTAGTGAGTATTACTGCAGTGCTGAGCTGATTCTATGAAGTCACTCAGTGAAAGGCTTCACAGACAAAGTCTTAGAGAGAGAGAAGTATGTAAGAAATCTTACTTCTTGTGAATTCTTTATCTCTATTTCTATCTCTTACATAATTAATAGAGTTAGCAGCTCTTGACTACACACAACTATATAGACTGAAGTTCATAAATACTATTTACAACTCAGCTTGAATACTATTATACATTTAATCTCTATATTTTATCTTTCTACTGTGAATACTTCTAGTAGTTAACAGTATATATCATGTCAAGCTGCAAACACCTGAATAATTGCCTGCGAGTACTTATTCTTACACTGAGGCATAAATATATAATAGTTAACTTTATAGATATTAGAAAAACTCTGAGAATTAAAAGTTTTTAGATAGATATTATAGTTTTTAAATATATACATTTATAATTGAATAATAATAATAATAATAATAATAATAATATAATTATTACTTATAGATAATTTTCACTGTATCTACTTCAGAGAACTCTGTCTCTTATAAATAAGTAAAGTACAATATTATTTCAGTAATTTTATCAGCAGAGCTATCTTGATTGAGACTATTTTAAATGAGTGTAAAGTATTTTATTAAGAGAAGATCTTCTTTCTCTCTTAAACTTATATTATATTCTGTATTTATTTTAATTCAAACTTTCTAAGCTGTTCAAGATAATAATTGCAGCTCAAGCAGCTCTCATTCGGAGATATTATATATATACATTGACTATGTTAAATATCTTCTACTTCTAGTAATTAGTGCAGATTCAAGTGAGTGTAAGAATAAGTACTCACAGGTGATTATTCAGATATTTACAGCTTGACATAATATATACTGATTACTACTAAAAGTATTCATATTAGAAAGATAAATGTAGAGATTAAATGTATAATAGCATTCAATCTAAGTTGTGAATAATATTTATGAACTTCAGTCTATATAGTTGTATGTAGTCAAGAGCTGCTAACTCTATTAATTACATGAGAAATAGAAATAGAGGTAAAGAATTCATAAGAAGTAAGATTTCTTACAGTGAGACAGTGTTATTTTTAACAGTAAAGCTGCTTACAGAGATATATTCACTGTCTACACTTCTATTTATATAAGAATATAGAAATTGCTTACAGACTTATAGAAGTCTATAGCAGCTTGATTAATTTTAAAATTAACAGAGTTCTTTTTAATTTATTATAAGTAACTATAGAACTACTAATACAGTATTTCAGAATGTAATTAGTTCTTTAATTTAAGTATAAAGTGTAAGAATTTGATTTAAGATAGAATTAGCAGATTCTTATATATAAGAAGAGATATAATCTGATGAAGATGATATAATATAATAGTTAATTAATTATTAAGATCTATCTATTATGTAATCTTTTATAAGTAATAAGTATTTATCAAGTGATCAATGAACATCTTGCTTATACAGAAGTAATCAGTCTGTAGAAAGAGAATCTGATATAAATTATATTAAATTATTTACAATCTTGTGTTTTTAATTAATATTTTAAAGATAGAGTAACTTGATTATATTCTTATAATACTAGCAGAATTATAGCACTCAGTTAATTTTAATAGATACTTTTAGAATCTCAATGATAAGACTATAAAGAATTTAAGATATGTAAGAAAAACTGTAATCTATTAATTAATTAATATGAAAAAGAAGGTGTTCTTATAAATCTGTGAGATTTTTACAGTGAATAGAGCTTGTTTTCTTTCTTAATATTTGAATATCTCTATAATACTGTGATAATGTATATCAACTGATTTCATATTTTTTAGCAGTCTCAGTGTAATTAGAGATCAATTGCATGTTAAAATCATCAATTGCTACCTGTATAACTGCTTTCTGATGCATGTTGTAAGTGTTTAAAGATGGATGAAAAAATGAAGATTGAGCGGGCGTTGAGTGGTTGTTTATGTTACTCATTTGACACATTTGTTACTATAAACTGCCGTATCTATCCTGTTTTTTGTATCTCTCAGTCTCATTTGTATTTGTGGAATCTCTTTGTCACAACTGGTCATATACCATCTGACCAGCCAGTGCTATCAAGACCGTGCCAGAATGCAGGGGATTAAGCTAATGGCTTTTATTTTTCCGAGTTTATCTAGATCTCGCCTGACAAGCTGACCTTGAATAATTTATTTAATATCTTGTTGATCGCAGATGGCCCTCCTCTTGCCCACAAGGCCAATCATCATGACTGGCATTGAAGCTGGGTTTGATCACTAACAAATAGTTAACAAATACTTTCTGTTCTCAATATAGTTACATATGTGTTTTTTTTTTCTTTTTTTTTTTTCCCCCCAAACTCGCCTCCTATTTACTTGTCCATCGACTCTGGAGAGGACACAGGCGGCGGGAAGAATAATCGAGATAATCAGAATCAGCCCCGCCACCTTGTCCTCATTCTTCAGATCTCACCCGCTCAATACGATATCATAAACCCCCCTAGTGGCGGAATGCATGCAGTTCTTTCCTCCTAATATTTAGATATGCGGGTCAGCGACCAACCTCACAGGGAAGCTGAAATTAGGTAAACCAAAAGCAAATACAGTAACAAAACTTACCACCATGCCTCAAACGACTGCGTTCCAACCTCAATCCCAATTCGTTTTAACTCCTCCGTTGACAAGTGCGTATCAAACGGCCTCTGCACCTCGCCCGGTTTCGGCCCTTCCCTCACAGGAATCATACCAGGCAACGGCAGCCCCAAAATCTCCGCCAATTTCTGGCAGATTTGATACTTGGTCATCCTATCTTCGGACGAGAACTGTAAAATCCTAGGTAGGGACTTCAGCTCGCCGTCGTTACTGGGCGCTCCCGCCCCCACCGCCCCCGCCCCAGCAAGATACTTGACAGCAATATCGCGACAAACCCTCCCCACATCCGCCGTGTGCGTCGGGTATCGAATCGCCCAATCGTCCATCTTAATCCCCGCCCCGGCATCCTGCGCCTTCCACACCGCGTCCACAAGCACGTTCACCGCGCTCTCGCTAGCCTGCTGAGCCGGCCCGTACAGGACGGGGACTCGCAGCACCACGCCCAGCCGGGACTCGCGCGTCTGCTCCAGCACGGCTACCTCGCCATCGCGCTTTGTCTCGCCGTAGATGTTTGGCGGGTCGGTTTGCGCGGAGGTTGCGTAGGGAGCTTCGCCGGGGCGTCCGGGGAAGACGTAGTCGGTCGAGATGTAGATGAGCAGGATGGAGCGGGAGGAGGTGGCCTGTGCGAGGGATTGGGTGGCGGCTACGTTTATCTTGCGGGCTGCGGCGGGGTTTTGGTCGCATTTATCTGGGAAGCGGTTGGCGGCGCCTGCAGAGGATGGTTAGTGGAAGTGGAATACTAGATTGTGAGATTGGGAAAAGGTGTGGGACAAAGCCTTTTCTGCAATTGGGTGACTATGTGTTCAATAAATAAAATAGAAACCGTGATCACTCACAATGCACAACAACATTGGGTCTAGAATACCCATCAGCAATCAATCAGCATAATTATCAAAATATCAAAGACCAACCGCCACCAAACCAAACGAAACGAAAACAAAAGAAAAAACCCACTTCGTCTGCTCCAGCAGCGCTACAATGTTCCCTTCGTCCAACAGATCCGCCTTGACGATTTCCACCCCCGAATCCGCCGTTCCCGACGCTCTGGAGAAACCCTGGCCGAAAACCTTCCAATTGGCACTGTCTCGCTGGAAGGCGTTTAGGACTTGGCGCCCGAGAAGACCGGTGGCGCCTGTGATGAGGGCGGTTTGTTGCATTTTTAAAAAATTGTTATTGTCTAGTATATGTCTTGTGTGTTGGGAGGTTGAATGGATGTTGGTTAGGGAACGGGCGTTGTAGGTTTATGACGTCGGTGGACTGGTGGGGGTTGGTTTGGGTGGGGAGGAAACAAATTGAGTATCATGACCCACGGTGTGATGTTAACTACTATATATGTCAATGATGACAAGCCGTATAGATTTAATGAGATAGAGCACATTTGACAGGGTGCGCTTCTAATTATAAGATTTTCATGATTTCATAAATAGATATAACTATATATTATAATGAAAGGAACTAAACAATTGCCATGCTATGCCGAGATGATGAATAGGACTACCTCATCACCCAAATCCCACGCCCGCTCCCCTCGTCACGCACCAAGAAAAGAAATATCTATCTACATCTATGTCGCATTGTATAGAGTACCGTATAGTCATGTCATGTCATACTCCTCATCCCCATCTCTCACAGGGCGAATTCCTGCCCCACAAGCTTCTCCGTCAGCTTCCACAGCTTCTCCGCCTTCTCTATATCGGTAGAATACGGTGTTGGAGTTATGAGTTGACAATCCATAAGAAAGCCGCCGGAATGAGCTATATTACCGTCAGAGGTGTTATTTTTAGTTAGGTGTTTTTGGCCATTTTTGCGCGGTTAAATAAAAATAAAATAAAAATAAAATAAAAATAAAAATAAACGAGAAATGTACTGTACTGTACATACCTTTTAGCGCAGGATCGAACGCCGCAACCACTGATGTCGCAGCTCCTCCGTCCGTGGTTTTCCAGTGTGGAATGACATCGGCCAGGGCACCGAAGTTTTCTGGGGACATATATCGTCCCAGCTCTGTGTGGATCACTGCTGAACCGTTAGTACTGTACCATCTTGAAAAGTCGGTTTCTAAAAGGGGTATATACCTCCTGGATGCAGCGCGAAGGAAGCAATCCCCTCGCTTGCAAGGTGTTTCGCCAGATACGTCGTAAAGAGCAAATTCGCCGTCTTCGACTGTCCATAGGCAATCATCGAATCGTACCCCGCAATGGGCTCCAACGGATACCCAAATCGCTTCAGCCAGTCTTCGGTACCCACCTCGTCCGCCGCGACGGGCTTGCCGTTGAAATTGTAGTCCTGGAACCGGAAGGGGGTGAACAGGTAGGCGTCGGACGCCACGTTGATGATGCGCGTGGAGCCCGGGCGCAGCGCGGCGGCCTGCCGAATCTTATCCATGAGTAGGTTGGTGAGGAGGAAGTGGCCGATGTGGTTCGTGGCGAGGTGGAGTTCGAAGCCGTTTTCGCTGAGCTCGCGCTCGGGGACGGCCATGATGCCGGCGTTGTTGAGGATGACGTCGATGGCGTCGACCTCCTTGCTAATCTTCACGGCGGCTTTGCGGACTGAGAGGAGCGAGGACAGGTCCACGGCGGTTGATGTGATCAGTACCGCTGGGAACCTGGCGTTCAGGTCGCTGGAGATCTCATCGAGTTTCTCTTGTGATCTGCCAGTTATGATTATGCGGGCTGGACTGTATTCTACAATTGCCCTGACGAGGGCGCCGCCGAGGCCTTTGGGGTTGACGCCGGTTATGAGACTGAGGGAGATTCATTAGCAATCTGTGAAGACAGTTTAAAGACCTATGGGGGGGCCGGGTAGGTAGGTAGGTACCGGTCAATCCTTTAATCTGATCAGAAAACACTTTGGCAACCTCTGTGGCCGTGGTTTTGAGTCCGAATTCAGCGTGCGATGCCATTTTCTTGGCTTCTGTAGGCTCAAAGGCGGTAGTAACTTTTTTAGATAGAGGAGAGGAGGTATATTGGGTATTGGTATGGGCTGGCTGATAATTTCTTTACTTTTCTTCTTGATATCCATCGTGAGAAGAAGATGTTCGACCCGGCTATATATACACAAAAATTTATCCTGAATTGGGTTTCTAAGTTTCTTCACATCGATATCAATAATAATTAGTAAGTCCGTATCGGATCTATGTGCAATGTCCAGCCAATATCGCCGTTCGGCGCGAGAGCCCTCCATTTGTCATCACGCTTGTAACTAGAGGTTCCGTGGGAATAATAACTTTCCCCACGGAGTTTCCAGTTTCTCCAGAAGCTTCATCATTCGCCCTGGTCCCGGCCTCGCAGCGCGTCCCCTGGCGAGCGTGGAGGAAGCGAATACTCGATCTGCATTCATTATTTTGCGCTTGTCGATGTCATTTATCGGGGCTACTTTTATCGCCCGCGGGATTCAATGCAACGACGATTAGTTTCTTCGTTCCGATGGTTCAAGATATCTGATAGTCATTCATTATTCTTGATCGAATCGAATGCAATGAATGTCAACATCGTATGCCGAAATCGCTCTCGGGGTTTCCTGTTTTATTGAGCAATCCTGCAGACAAAAAGAATACGGAGTAGACTTTCATGAGCCATCAAGCCGCTTGCATCATTTCCAAGACCTCAAGGCGACCATCGAACCGAACATATGAAAAATTATTTTCGGAGTTTGAAGTCATGCACGCTACTTAACTACATTCTACGGACTTGGAAGTTCTGCGGGGATCGTATTGTTTTTAAGTTAACTCCAGCCCGTAGTTAATGCCGCTCGCTGGCTTTGGGCTTGTGAGGGAAGTGGGAATTTCTTATTTCTTATCTCCGAAATCAGTGTTTCTTGATTTCTTGGCCTTTTCTCTCGTACGTAACTTAATCTGTTAACTTAGTTTTTGATTGCCATGCCGAATGCCTAGAAGATGATTGAATTGAATAATAAATAACCACCTTCCAATCGCTTGGAGCAGCGAGAGTGCTCCTTGAGGCAGAAGGGGGTATTTTGAGAACAAGGAACGTTGTTCCCCATGTCTTCCTCCGAATTTGAAGATTAATTTGACTCGGGATTGGGAATAATGTATATAATAAATAATATGGGAAGGATTCCCCATATCCATCCCTACTATGTCTGTACATTACATGTACATACATACATCCCATTAACACGACACAATAAGTGTTCGCTACCGGAAAGGAAAGAGACACAAACCTCCCAAAACCGAATACACTACAAGTGCCAATTAGAAGGGAAATACAGTACCGTACAATGATCGCTCGCTAAATCGCCGAAAACAAACAAACAAGAAGAAAAAAATGCAGTTATGAAATACCTATGGAGTCTCATCAAGTGCTGATGATAAATGATTAGGGTTACTCTCCTGAAGACTGGAGAAAACACCTACACTGCTAATTACCAGAGCTAAACATCCTCATGATGTGTCTCTAAAGGAGGCCTATTACTTGCCGCTCCGGTGGGTCGATTCGTTAGCTCTAACGACCGTGGGCTAGCAGGCCCGTCTCGCTGATATGCACTTGAAGATCCAGACTCCTGCTGTAGCGGGTTTGGTAGTGGCTGCTGCCCAATAACCCCTGAAAACGTGCTGGCCGCGGATCCACTACGCCTCACCCGTTTGTTGGCGTCTAGGAGTTCCTTCCGGTTGAGGGATTCAGACGGTAACATAATCGCACGGTCGAGTTCGTAAGGCAAGCCACGATGGCGGCCGCGAATCTCCATGGCGATAATAATGAGTTTCGATAAGGGCTTGAACTGTGCGCAGAGAGAGGTGTTGGTGTTTGGGAAACCAAGCGACAGACCCACGGTTCCGTAGGCTGAGATGATCTCAAACATGACGGCGAACAGGGTGAAACCGTTCTCGCCCGTGTCGTCCAGCCTATTGCCTTCGACGATGGCAATGATGAACAATCCAAGGAAGATGTACCACAGGTCGAAGCTGAGCTGTCTTCGAAGATGGGCCCCCACATAGTTGATTTTCTTCGACCCCAACGTTTCATCTTCATCTTCATCAGGATAGGAATATATCCCCAGACTGCCTTCCTCGTAAACATTTGTCCGACGGACCGAAATGGCAATAGGGAACACGGAAATATACATCATAATCATGTAGGAAACTTGAACCGCAGGATGGATTTCGGACAGATTGACAACCGCTAAACCAGCGGTCCGCGTCGCGGCCGCTTGGAATAAACCATCTACAAAGCGTATTCCACCAGGAATCCTGGTGATATCCGGGTCACTCAACTGATAGAGTTAAGTTAGCAAGTAGAAAGCCAAGAAGGCAGGCAGGACTCATGCACGAGAGGACCTACATCTAAGATAATAAAAAATATCACATCTACCCCATTAAGGATCACAAGCACTCCGAATAGCCACCACGTAGCTGCCCGGGGAAACAAAAGCGTGAAGCATCTTCTCGGATGGTCTAATAAAAACCGCAGTTCTTCCCAAGCAGGGCTGCCAGTGGGAACAAGGAGGGAAAGCACCCAGATTATAAATCGCAGCATGCAAGGAAATCCAGTATTTCCGATGATAATAAGGAAGGTCAGTAAAAGAAGAGGAAACACTGCATCATAGAACGGTATCATCGAGTTTGGGGTGAGTGCGAATCCTTGGTCGTTGAAACTGGAGCCAGAGGTGAAAATGGCCCACCACGGCCGGCCTACCCCTGCAGCTCTAACAACATTACCGAATCTTTCTGTTTTCAGAATCCATGGTACCAAGCATATAATGCCTAATAGATGGAAGAGGAAGAAATAACAAATCAGCACTACCGCTAGAGCTTTCAGGGCCCTGTATTCAATTCCCCCTAGCTCATTCCTTTGCTCCTCGGTAAGGTCCACGAACGCAGAATTCCGGCCAATTGTCGGTTGCCAACTAAGATAGGGGCTAGAATCAACGTCGGCTCCTTGCGCTGATGTAGACCGAAAAAGGCTCGACAACGTTCCCTTTCTCGTTCTCTCTGATGGGGCATAATCTGTATCCGGTTCGCTGGCCCCTTGGCTTCGCCCACGACGAGAATTAGTTCGAGGAAACGTTCTGGTCCGCGAACGCATCCGGACAGCATTAGGCTCATCAATGGTGATACGGCGTCCTCGGGAAGGTGGAGTAAAAGGCGAAAAAGGAGATGATTGAAGAGGCCGCTCCGATTGCGATGTCTGTGCTCGGGTCAAATCTCCGCCATCTGTATTGTCCACCGTTTGTGGGACCCTGCCTCTGTCATACTCTCGCGGGCTTGGAATACGCAATGCCCCAGTCTGTCTCCGCTGGTGTTCTAGGAACGCAATATGATGCTCCGGGCTCAAATATTGAGGTGTTCTGAACTCTACACTCCTATCATTGTCATCCGCAACAGGAGATTCACTCGTATTAGCCAGTTCACCTCGCTCTTCTCTCTCAGTTTGATCCTCCATCTGAGAGCTGGATCTGCCACCAGTTGTCGATTTGGGTGACTTGTCACTGTCAGAGGTGGATTCCGGGTCTGACTTCTTCATAACATCAGGAACCGCCGAACCACCCTGAGCTTGTCCAGTGTCACTATCTCTTACAAGGACTATCCGCTTTCCACGCACCCCCACCCCTTCTCGATCTTGATTGGGTCCAGTCTCCACTCCTTCCCGGCCCCAAGCGTCACGAGTCATAGTCCTTTGCCTTGTCTTAATACGTCGCAGGGTTTTGGCCTCACGAACGACATGTTGAAAGCGCCTTTCGAACCAAAAGAGCCGCATAAAAACAACGAATGAATGAATGACGATGGGATTGGTGATCATGGAAACGAACCATAACCCGACCTGTTGGTAGGTGAACAGGAGATTGAGGTCGATGGGGTTGAGACCACTCTGGGTGGCAGAACCTGTACCGAACAGCAGCGCATCGATATATCTCATGTTCCCATTCGGATAGATGACGATGGAGCAAGCGAGGGCACAGACGATAATGTAGGCGTAATGGAGGGACAAAAAATTAATTCGGATACTGGAAATCACGGGTATTCGGCTCCTGATTGAGTCCAGAACCTGGATAGCATCCATGAAGCCCTCAAGCAAGCTCCAATAAGCCCGCCTCACCTTTGCAAGACCAGAACGGAACGTCATGGTGCTTTGAAGATGGAATCACGGGGAGAGCCGGACTGCTGGGATTCACGTAAAGCAACAAACTCTGCTGGGAGACAGTAGCTATAATCCGCGATCTGGAAACAGGCTCCCACGGAAAAGGGCCAGACAAACCAAAAAGTCGTATCCGCAGATCAGCTAACTGGAGATAGCAGTTAGCAGATCACAGAATGCAGTTGTATACTATCCCACAGGCGTCGTAATGGAGACCTTCGTGCCCAAGCCAGCAAGCACGTCAACTCGAGCGCATGGAAAAAAAGACATTACGGAAGTGTATCGTGAACGCAAGAGGCCCCTCAGGCAATTGTTAATTGCTAGTAGGTTGATAGAGAAGAATTGATGCTGAGCATACGGAGAGTTGCCAAGAGGATGGAGAGAGAACGAGGAATCGAGGGAAGTTGAGACTGGATGGTGGCTGGTGGCTGGAAGAGCGGAAGTGAGTGGCCACATGCTTCAATCTGCCAAGCCTCATTAATCATCTCTACCATAGCAAGGAAGGGATGTGGCGGAAAGATAAGTTTTACCGTGGCAATAAGATTTACACTCCCTGGCGGCTCAGCCGCGATGTGGCGAGGTGCCATAACGAGCCTGCTTTCCGTATGGATAATGCTTTGGTACTGTGCTTAGGAGGCCACTGTTTACTCCTCCAACGCTTTATTCATCTTTAGACGTCTTTACTCTTTGCGAGCACACCGTCTTTCTCGTGTAATTTGTGATCCTGAGAGACAATCGCTTGCCCTCGTTGCACGCAGGTTTTCACAATATCAACCGTCTGGTCTAGCTTTTTCTTCCACAGTGCACAAGCAGTTTCAACAACCACAGCCCCCTAAGGAGGTGGTCGGGGGGATTCAGTAGCTAAAGATACAGCTGGTCGCTCATCCAGGCGAATCTCCAGGGCGAGACTTGGAACAGATGACGATGACACTTGAATGACGGCATCTCAGGGCGGGCGAGAATTCTGTGGGCTATCTCAGGCTATTATTAGCAGGTTCGGAGTGGAGTCTGGGAGTGGTGATTTCGGGGAATTCTCAACCTTTTGATTGGAGGTTGTTTGTTGGGCAAATGCCATCTCTGCAGGGGAACTTTTTTAAGCTAATGGAAGATCAGTGTCTGGCCATGTTAGCTTGAGGCGATCTTGACAATTTGGGGGGGGGGGGGAAGTCCTTTTCAGGACAGAATGAGCAGCATATTGACAGGGAACATGAGGTGCTATCTTCAACCACTATGTCGATAAATGAGGTGTCTCCTCTGTTAGAGGAATTATTCTTCAAACTCATGCCCCGATTTCTGATCCTGATAGGACGCTATATCATTTCAGCAAAGGGCTCTGGACGGGCCGTAAATTGACTGTGATCCATGAGTATAGGCTTCTACTTTATAAACCAGGGGATTTCATTCATACAGCAGCATGTAAGTATCCAGGAAGGAAAAGAGCTAGAGAGGATTCCTTTTTGTCAATTTATCTGAGCCGAGAAAAATGAATCGCGTATGAGGGACACGGCTCCACTGTTCTGAAGTTGAAGAGTCAATGAAGAAGCAATAGAAGGAAGTAAAGTCTCTCTCATCTTCAAGCACCGGCGATATACAGATCATTATGATACAGGTATATGAAAACAATCAACTCTACTAAAAGGGATCTACTCTAAGAAAAGGCGTGACTTCAACCTATAACCACCACTTACTACACAAAGCATTTATGGAGATTTCTGCAAATGTGTTACGCATAATAGTATGTCACGCGAAAGTATTGCTGTGTACTCAAAACTGCACTAAAACACCTCATAGTAAAACACCTGGCGCATTTATTATATGCGTTCAGCTACCTAGGATATCGAGGCATGCACTATAGCGATTACCGGTCGCAAAATCTCATACCTCTCTGCCCCTCTAATAAGAAACTAGCCGGAAGGCAGACAAAGGAAATAAGTTAACACGAGAGATACATTGGAAATTAAAAATTATAGAAGACTGGTATACATTTTCCCTTTGGAACAATCAGAGCCCTTCTGTTCTCCCAGTGGCCCCCCTCTCATTGCAAATTTCATAGAATGTGTATTCGCATCATGCTTCTTAAAGTTGGATGTTTGTGTTTTCATTTCCCATTCATTTCCCATTCCAATCCCAATCTCGAGGCCCTCAATTGTGTGTGTATCAGTCCCCACAGGGGCGCGTAACAGAATCAAAAAATCAAAACCCAAATAAGGGCGCATGGACAGCCAGCCATGGTTCAGGCAACAAACACAACCACACAAAGATCATTAACTTGAGGAAAAACGAAGCTCCCGTCCTGACTGTCACATCTTGTCGCCGCCGCGATCTGCTTCGAGTTTGTTTAGAATTACTCGCTCGCACTTGCCGATCCCCTCCTGTAGTTAGAGTTTACGATTGTTAGCGATTTGATTTGACTTTAACTCTATCTCGCTCTCTCTCTCTATATATATATCTATATTTTCATTCCAAAAAATAATCAAGGGAAGAAACAACGAAACAACAGCGAGCTGATATCACTTACCTCATACCAATCATGGCACGTAAGCCCCGGGCAACACTTGTCGTAGTAACCGCAGGGAGCGCCCTCGGTAATGCATGGTTCGCCGTCCCCGAGAGCCATGACGATGGTAGCGGCCGCAAGGAGGAGAGCGATGGAAATTTTCATCGTTCGTATTTTTTTTTATAAAATCTATCTCTGGATAAGAAGGAATGGAATAGGGTCGGAGTAAGAGCGAGGGGAATGGATATGGAATATTTGTCCGGCTTTGCTCCTTTGCTCTCTATTTTATGTTTTTCCCTCTTGCAGGATTGGGGAGAAAGGATGATCCGGTTTTTGAGACCAAGTATTTGAACCGGGCCAAGGACTGTTGAAAACCGGGGAGAATCATCATTATTTATATATCTACGGAGTACTGTTTGCAGGAAAACAGGAGAGATTTTAAATGCTGGTCCAGGAGGTTCCTGGTCTTTGATGATTCTTTACTAGGCAGTGTTTCCTCGACAGCTCAGGTTCCACGGTTTTTTAACGGTTGGATCGCCGCCCGGTTAATGGTTGTCACAGTTTGTTATGCAAGTTGGCTTAACAGTAACCAGTTCCCTTTTGTTTTTCTTTTAACTACTCGTTATAATGTAACTAACTACTCCGTATAGTGCTTGTGATTCCAGGGCCTGAAAAGAAAAGAAGCTGATCATATCCCATGACATGACACATATAGAAACATACATCTGTCCATGGATTGACCATGTAGCAAGCAATTTGGGAAGAGCTTACACCAGACGATCCTTTATCCATTTTTAATCAACTCTTTTTTGGCGATGTATGTATGTATGTATGTACATACATTATTATTTTATACACTAAAGTGCCAGAAAATTCCATTTTGAACAGTTAAAATATGCAGTAACTAATATGCAGTAACTAGCACTCTTGTTGGGGGTTGAACCGTTTTTTTTTTCATTCCAAGTTTAACTAACTAACTGAAGAATTCCACATGGACGACGGGGCCTATATCAAATGATCTTAACCGTCGCCGACTGTTAGTTATTATTATTCACTTCAACCAACAGTTGGTGGCGTTGGTACATACATTAGTGTCCAGGCGCATTTTATAGCCACCCCTTTTTTAAGTTAACGCGAAACTTGAATGATGGTTCATCACAAAGAGGCCCGAGGACCAAATATCGTATTTTGCCGGGGAATGGCAATGACAACGTGCATTTGTGCTTCAGGGGCGTCACACCTGCACAAGTCGCACGACGCGTCCAACGTGGGTGTGAGGGAGGGGAGTGGAGGCTATAATATATAGTTAAGCTAGGGATTGATCAGTAGATATTGATTGAATGCAGGATAACATACTTGATGCTTAATGCTTCCCCGCTGAAACATTCATAACAAAGCATCTCTACCATGTGTAGTGTATGAATGTCTGCATAATGTCTCCTTCAATCAACAGGTAAAGTTAGTTGCTTGGATGGTAACACCAAGTAACATCTACTTCTCACAATAGAAAATTAAAGGAGGGATGTGGATACCAGGCGCGCGGAGGCCAAATATGCATTCGCAAAAGAGCTTATTTCAGATTCCATCCCTGCTCTTCTTGGGGTTTTTGTTAATGTGAATATATGTACAGCGATACCTTGCTTGTTGTCCCAGACTGTCCACTGCACCAAGATGATATTCTGCATTCTGACCCAATCACATGAAGTGAAGGTGTTGATGTATGTGTAGGTATGAGAACAATCAGAGTGGAGGCTGTGTAGCACTGGAAATGCAGTGGTGGTCAGGTCAGGCCATTGTGAGGAGGAAGATCACTCTAACCTTGCACCCTAGACATTGTGTCTACAGTACATACCGCTGCATATCTGCGGGTGACCTTCTGGCTGCAGGAGAGCCCCCTAAAACCCCGCAATCAGGTAATCCTTTTTCCGACGTACATGATCTTGCATATAAGAAAGGATATCTCCCATAATATACATGCTGCAAATATCGTCGACGAAAACAGCTGCCACAGAATACTCACAAAGACTTGAGCTGGCGGTATAATGCGAGAACACAGACAAAATGATGAGCGACGAAAGCGGCTGCACCAAGAAACGGAAAAAGAAAGGGCTGAGTATTTCGCTCGTTTTCTTCGGGATCTGTCCTAGAGTCCCATATGCCAGCGGGGACCTCTAAAATACCACGCTAGATTAATATTGAAGACGGAGAGAAGACCGAAGTCCCCATATCGCGCGCAAGGAAGCCATATCCAGTCGCGAAAACAACCCTTGCAGGATTCCACCACAAAATATGCGTATAAATATGTTACGCAAAATGACAAATTGCCCCCCCAAATAAAAATGAGAACTCCCTAAAGCCGCACACCAAATGCCCTAGAAATAAAGAAATATGCTATTCGTCACATATCATCGTTGAGAACCAGGCCTCTCAGGCTGCTGAGCATTACCATTTCGGTCCTCCCGAACATCTACCGATATCATCTCTTCTTTGCTATTGTTAGATGGGACCTGCTCGTTCCCGTTGGCTTCGTCGGCCGGGGACGGCTTGTTTTGGAAGTTGTCGTCTGTCATATCTATCTCTATCCAGCTGGACGTGAAATTTGCTGAATGGGTGGAGTGTGTTGCGTGACTGAGGCCTTTCATATTCGCCCCCTGGGAAGGAAACGGGAGGTCACGAGCTGCGGAGCCGTTGTTGGAGGAGCTGGCAGTGAGAAAAGGGAAAATGATGGAGAGCGGTTGGCGGATCATGGGGAGACAGGCACATATTATACCCGTGTTACATTCGATAACGCTCCAGATTGTGGCGGGAATGGCGGCCCCTAGGTCCTTTGGTTAGAGGTAGGGTATGGGAGAAAAAGGGGTTGTGGTTAAATCATTATGAGTTAGCATTCTTACAGGTCACGTCCTTTGATATGGAAGATGAAGCGAGAGTGGTAACTCGGATGATGCTCGTGACGCAAATGCTGAAAATTATGTACGCATCAGGACCTTATCCGTTTAGCAAAAATCGGAGGCGCCAGATTGCTCCACTCACAATGCTCCCAATGAGAAAACTAATACTAGCCCGAACTTTTCCCGACAGCGGCGTTTGAGGCGAAGGACTGCTTGCACGGGAAGAACTAATATCACCACATCCGTGGAGATGTTGATAACGGAAAGCGACAACCAGAACTGGTGGTTGTTCACGCAGTGAAAGCCAGGAATGGATTTGTCCCAGAAGCCGGCCATGGGGTCACATTGCCAGATTGTTGTGAGTACAAAAGCGATTCCATGCACTCCGATAAAGATGGTGAGGGAAATACACGCCCAGCGCATATACCGCTCGATATAGAATATGCGCATGTAAAGGAATAGTATGGACATCTTAGCCAGTGTAATGACGATTTTGTAAAACACTTGGGCGGCAAAAACCCACTGCGATCCGATTTATTTTTCCAGAATTAGTGTCGTGCCAAAGCCGCGTGAAGTGGGATGCGTAAAAGTAGAAACCTTACCTTCAAAGCTAGTATTTTTTCCTCCTTCGTCAAATCAAACGCATGCCTCCCGTACCCATGAGCCACAGCTATGACATGTTAGTCCTGGGGAGGAAGCTTTAAGAGATATGAGGACAAGGGAAAGGAACGCACCCATGTTTTCAGAGATTGAAAGCATGATAGAATTGATCTAAAATTCCGTTAAATATAGCCAGAAACAATACGCACACAGAGACATCACCCACCAAGGCAGCAATGATCATATAGTCGTCAATCTGAAATCCCCCCCGTATGTATCTGCCAATTAATCGAGCGCAGACAAAGAGGCCAGCCACAATTACCATTGTTGTACTGACAATCCACAAATCCCACCCTCGATGGGGATGACCTGGTGTTGACATTCCCAGGCGTGACATCATGGAGAAATCTCGCCAAATCGCAGCCAAGTAGCAAAGACGTCTAGGATGGGGCTGATTTTGTCCAGGGTAGCCAACTGAATGGAAACATTATGAGTTTTAGAATAGAGAAACCTCTTCTCCGAAAGATGGAACATGACGGACTCACTAGGAAGGTACAAACTCATGTGCTTCAAGATCCCCTCATAATGTTCATCTTGGCCTGGTATAAACTCGAAATATATCGGCCAGTTCA